GGCCAGCTTCTGGAGAGGACAACATAGAAGTATATTACTTGTGATTCAGTGACCTGGATATCTGCTTCCCCACCCCCACTTGCTTAAGTGTTAATAATTCACTAATAGGTCTGGGAACTAAAAGTACACAATAAACATTCTTAATCAGAAACTCATTAGCCTAAATTGGGTGCAGTGGTGCATGCCTATGATCCCATCTGCTCTGAAGGCTGAGGCAGGAGGATTGCAAGTTCAAGGCCAGCAATTTAGGTAATACCCTATTGCAAGATAAAAAGCAATCTGGGGATGTAGCTCACTTGTAGAGTACCCCTGGGTTATACATTCAGTAAGGAAAAAAAAAACCAACAAAACAACCTAACTCATTAGCCTAAACATATTCAACTTAGATACAAGACAATCTTAGGTAAATCCTACTGGAATTTACACTATGCCTAGACTACAGAAGCCATATAACAACCACCTCTTGGAAATAAAATGACTATTTCAGAAACTCCAATAAGCATTTCACTTGCATCACAGTGGAGTATTTCACAGTCTTACTTTAATCTATGAATATTGTCTCATATGTCACTGGCTGTTTACTGAATTACAAAGTGCCTAACAGATCAGGCACATGGTAAGCATACAAATATCTATAGAGTGAATGAGAAATCAAGTCAAAACATCAAAATAACCTTAAAGCAAGGAGTTAACTTTCTTATATTGCTCAACCAAATATGACACTAGCACAAGCTCTTCTAGCAAAACAGTCAGCAGGATCAGGACTCATGATGCAATCCAGGCAGCGCACATACACTTCGACCAAAACCAAGTTTACAGATGGCACTCAGTACCAGCACAGAGGGAAAAGAAAAGCACTTTCCTCCTTCCCCTGCTATCAGTTCTTCCAATAAGAGTCTCACCTGCACTCATGTTCCAGCCTCTGGCACTGGGGTGTCAAGGATGAGTTAACCCACATGCAATCCTTCATAACAACCTGGAGGTCAGGACAGAAATGGAAACAGATTGTCCTGCAAGATCACAGCTACACAGACTAAAGCCAAAGCATTGAAAGCACTTGTTCAGGGACATTTACGGCTCTGGGGTCATTTTCAAGTAAGTACCTGGCTGCCGAGCCTTCTTAGATTTCCTCAGTCAAAAGCCTGGTTGAGACACTGGACATTTGACAAAGTTAATTTAACAGACACATTAGCCATTCACTCTTCTAGGTTTTTTTTGAGCTCCATTTCTATACAGAGGACCATTATCATAATCTTTGCTTCTGAGCCACACTAGTAACTCAGGTATCCAGAAATAAACTCATCCTGGGTTTCTTTTCTTAATATGCCTTCTTCATTCCTTTTTCCTCTCGAAGACTAGCAAAAGACATGACCATGTAAAGAAGTTTACTTCACTTTCTGTAGAACTGAAGTTGAAGTACTGTCCATGACCTGATTTTGTATTGTACATGAATAAATATTAGCTTCCAGGCACCATGCAAGCTATCTACATATGTTATCTCATCTACAATGACAACTTTGCTACATGCCACCTCTAGATCTTTTTTCGCTTTTTTTTTATTAACTTGGCTACTACAAAGCTAAGAGCTAAATTAAATACTGGAAGGAGTAAGTACTTAGGATTGTTGCTTAATTCTCTTTCTCCATCTACATGATGATCTTTCTTCCTTTCCTATTTTAATAGTCTCATTATTTTGTGGGATTTTTACTATGCATTTTATTCAGACACATTTCTGAAAGTTGATTCTCCATAAACAAAACAAATTGCCCTAATTATCAGTTGTAATTTCCTTTCATTCCCAATTGGCAAGAATTTTCATGAATAATTCATTTGAAGATGACCTTTTGGGTATTACACTTTGGCCGCTTGAAAACCCAAATAACACAATATTTCCCACAATTGTATGGTACAGAATGTTTATGAAAGGACAAGCAGGAGGAACCGGAAGGAGTTGATTGACTTAACTTAAAACATAACTAACAGGTTACTTCTAAATCTGTCAACAAGGTCTATTGCTATCTTGTGTTGGATTCTGCCAGTCCCATCTTCCCCCACCCCAACCACCATATTTGCTGCCTAAACTATACCACCATGTCCCTTGATCACTTTTGGGCTGCCAAGGCCAGAGGACTGCCAAGACCTTCAGAGTGAAAAGTCATTGCTATCACCCAGTGATGTATGGTCTCTGGAATTTCCCTCAATACTGACAATGCCTCTGGAACACATAAAAATTTGCTTAAATTTAGGGAGTTGAATGTCAACATCTTTAGGGAATCAAGGTAGCATGTAAGATAAACTCCACTGCTGAGGAGTTCCCTGTACTCAAGACAACTACCCCTGGAAAAGCTTGTAGAAATAAATCTACAATGTTATTATACAAAAGGAGGAGCCAGCTGTTGCCAGAGGGAGAAACCCAGAGAGGCACCCACAGGAAGACTGAACCATACACCTGTGTATGTGTATGTTCATACACCCGTGGTGTATGTTCCAAGTGTGCACACACACCATGGATTCTGGCATACTCAAATGGCACCTACTGGGAATGCTTAGTCAGGCATTTGGGGAACAGAATGTTTGAGCACAGCCATTAACTGGCCCAACAAATATTCCACCGGTATCTGCTGTATGCCAAGTAATCTTCTAGATGCTCAGAAATCAAGAGTGAATGAGGCAGTCGAGACCCCAGTTTTTACGACTTCACATTCTAGAGGGAGAAGACAGGTTGCTAACAAGTAGCAAATGAAATGAACAATTTAGACTGCAAGTAAGACTACAAAGGAAACAAACAAAAAATCCAGTGTGACAATTCTGAAAAGACATAAGGAACTGCCTTCGCTGAAGCGGTCAGGGAAGGGCTTTCTAAGAAGGGGAGGTATAATCTTACAGTAGAATGAGCTAAAGAAACCAGTCACTTTTACTCTGATTTCCATCAAAAAACATGTGCTTACTCAAAGAAAAGGAATATGCAACCACTGCAGTACCCAGGGAAGGAAAGGAATCTTCAACTTTGTATATTAAGATTTTCAGAAATCACTTTTCCTCTAAAGATGCTGAAGCAAAAGGAAGTTGTCTTAATTCACCTCTAATTATAGCAGCATTTACTAAGAAGACACTAAAAAAGAGAGAAACGGAATATTTATTCTTTTTTTGTAACATCAGTTACTTTATATAACAATACTCCAGTGCCAACAGAATTACTTCAGAAAAAAACCAAAACAATTCTGTAGCTATGTTCGATATCATTTACTTTTCACTCACAAAATAAAGCCAAGTTCTATTTACTAGCAAATGTTTCCACTTCCAACATATGATAAAACTTTGAAATTAATTGGAAAGAAGTTTCCAGTAGGTTGGGGATCTGTTTAAGTTGCACAAATAATAAAGGGTTATTTACCAATCCCCACGTAAAACATCCTAAATACAATACTACTGAATTTCTTTAAGGGTCTATTAAAAGTCAACTGACATAAAAATATCCCCAACTCACCCACTACTCAAAAGACTTTGCATTGAAACACCTTTTTCATTGAAGTTTCTTAGCTTATGATTTCTTTCAGAATTACAAACGATTAAGCAGAAGTGAATCACTCACCACAAATATTCAGAATAAATCACGGAGCACATTCACTAAAATGCAATTTTTATTCCTTTGCAATAAATACATGCAATATATTATTACAGTGTAAATAAGCACACTAAACCAAGGCAAAAAATATACAGATATTGCTCAACAGATCTACATTATCTAATACACTTATTAAAATTGCTATACAAGAAATGCTTAATTTCTTTGACTTCAAAAGATGTCAATAAAAGATCTTGCCAATATATAAGCTCATAGGGACCCAGATGATCTACTTCTGAAGATCAATAACATGGTAAGAGGAAGATTTTATTTACAATGTAGGTACGGATTATGCATAGTATTTGTATTTTCACAAATTTTAAATGTGTGTGGAGACAGAAGGTAGAGAGGCTAGGCTTTTCAAAGGAAAAATCTTTTTGATGACTTTATGAATTGTTATGCTTCTAAATTTGTCATTTGAAGAAAATTACACATTTAGACTTAAAATGAAAACAAAACCAAAAAAAAAAAAAAAACCCATCATCCCCACAAACACGCCTTTTAAAAAACAAATCAGAAGATTTAGGAATTATGCCAATAATAATCCCACAAATGTCACTGGTGAATCCTTCTTCAAAATGACAAGCGAAGCTAAGAAGGGTGAAAGCCCCTAGACATAAAAACTCCAAGTTAGCCCTTTCAGAGAGACAGAACACAGCTGGCACAACTGGAACCACAAGCGACCCAGAGAAAGATGCATCGTCACGAGCAGCAAAGCAAAGGAGAGCGCGACTCTGGAGGCAGCGAAATCGCCACAGATTTCCCGAGGAGGCGGAGAGAAGCCGAGTCGCCAGGCGCCGGGCACAGCGCAAGCCAACAACATTCAGGATAATTCTTCTTTCCAAGCCTTCCAGTTCCGGGCCAGGACAGAAAGCGGAGCTAGGAGACCCACAGTCCCTTTAAACTGCCCCCACCCCACGCCTGCCAACCTTTTCCGAAGCCCCGTGTCACACAACTTCCTCATCATGGAAACTTCCACTTGGCTCCGCGCTGAGGATGCCAAACTCCATTTCACAAGGATCCTGTCAACAACTGTGCTTGGGGTTTTAGGAACACGGCCGCTCCGCCGATAGGAGCGGTCACCCAACTCCCCACTACCCACGCTGCGTTCCCTGCCTGCGGCCGCGCCGTATCCCAGCGCAGAGGGCGCCTCCCCTCCGACCCCGGCGCAGACGCCCCGCGGAGGCAGGTAGTGAGGCGACTGCCACCCGCGGACGCCCACGCCCGCCCGCGCGCCCGCCCGGAGCTCCGCCGCCCGCACCGCTGCGGGTCGTCGCGACGCCCGGTCCCGTCCTGCCCACCTCAGGACGGCGGCACCGCCGCCCCTGCCTGCCCCTCCCCCGGCTCCCTCCGCGCAGGGCTCCAGCCCAATTACCAGAGCGCTCGAGCCGGCTGCGTCGCGCGACTTCGCCTAGGAAGGTAGCCCGCGGGCGCTCGCCCGAGCCTGGGAGCAGAAGGTCTCCTCTCGCAGCGACTCACATTATTCATGCAAAGTTAATCCCCGCCGCGTCACGGCCGCCCGCCCGAGGCTGTGCGCCTTCCTTGGCCGAGCCCCGCAGTCTCCACCCTCCTCCGCCCCCTCCTCCCGGCGGCGGGGTCCCGGGAGCGCCGGCGACGGGGCGTCGCGCAAGTCCTCAGAAATGTCAACTCCACCAGCAAAGAGACGCAGCCGCAGCCGGGGCCGCGCCAGCCTCCGGCCTCGCCACTTTTATAGGCGCTTCTAAGAAGCGAGCGCGGCCGGGGCAGCGAGTCCCCGCCTCCCGGCCCCCCGCGTGCCGGCCGCTCCCCGCGCTGCTTACTCCGGGCCGGGGCGCCGGGCCCGCGCCGGCCGTGCGAACCGGTGACCTGGTTTCCCCTCCAGCCCTCTCGGCGGTCCGACTCCCGCGGCGGCGGTGGCGGCGGTGGCGGCAGCGGCCAGGAGCAGGCAAACTCGGCTCCGCCAGGGGCGCAGCGAGCAAATGGCCTCCTGGCCGCTCACCCCGCCGCCGCCGCCGCCCCGGGCTCCGGACGGCCGGTGCAGAAGCCCCAGCGCGGCTCCCGGGCCGCGCCCCGACGCGCTTTCGGAGCCCGACCCGCTGACCCCTGACCCACGAGCGACACTCTCGCCGCCCCCGGGCCGCCGCCTCCGCACCTGCCTCACCAGGTGCGGGCGCTCCCTCCTCCCGGTGCCTCCGGCCGGGAGAGCCCTTCCAGGGGTGGTGACGTTGCCCTGAGTTGGGTGGCCGCGCGTGCACCCACCCGACTGCAAGTGCGTGGAGGTCTGCGTTTGATCGTCATTGCTCTAGTTGGAGAAGAGGAAGGAGTGAGAGATGAGTGACAGGAAGAAGAGGGGGGCTCGCAGGAGCTCGGCCTCCTCAGCCGGCCGACCGGACTAGTGCGGCCCGTGCCACCACGCTCCTCCTTCCACCCCTAAACCACTTGTGGCGCGAGTCCGGACGACTCGGCGCTCTGGCTCTTCCAAGGCCTCCCGCGGGTGCGGCTGTCTGGCGGTAGTCTTGCCACACCACCACTGACCCAGGAATGGAGTTTGGAAAATGCCTTGCTTGCCCATCAGGGTGCACACAGTCACTCTTCCCACCCCATTCTGCCCATCCTGGGGTAGGTGTTTGTTGGGTTGAGACACTCCACGGGTATCTTTTAAAGAACGCACCACTATTTTCTCTTTGCTCTGGGAATCTACAAGTAAAATATTTTATAACCTTGAAAGGTTCCGTCCTGGCAAATATACAGCTCTAAAACGTCACCTACTCTGAGGCCTGAAAGCCAAGGGTTCAGCTTGTGAGAAAATAAAGCAGGCAACTTGCATTCTGAGCTGTAGTACTTGGAAAAGTATCCCACACCCAGACAGTTACATGCAGCCATAGTTGATTGCGTCGTAACTACTTCGACAAAGATAAGAGTATAATTATTTTCTTAAATACACTGTTAAAATGACTTCTATTTCATAATGCAATATGCACATTCATGTAGCAATAGAACTAGGATGATTTATGTTCTGTTGCCTGAACAATGTATAGACTATTAGAGAGATCTTTAGATTTCTAGCTGGTGATGAGCTTTATTTCTCCTTCTTCTGAGTGGTCCACATTCAGAGCAGAGGTCTCATCCTTGTGGGCAGCACTAGAAAGCACAAATGTCAAGAATTTGGAAGCATTTCCGTGCATCCGGATAACCAGGTTTCAGCACGCTTCAAGAATGAAAGTTGCAGATCCCAAAACTCTCAGGGGCCTCTCCCTTTGGACTCTACAGACTACATTTCCCTTCTGTCTCTAGAGAGACATTTGTGTTTTAGTCTTCGCTGTGAATAAGGTTCCACCATAGGACTTTCCAGCGTCTATAGTGGACGGTTGTTCTTTGTGGGGAAGTTCCTGGGCTTCGCTCCAAAGCTGCACTGGGATGTTTTGGTTGGTTTGGAGGAAGGCTGAGGAGTCTACACAACTGTTCCACACAGGAAGCCCCCTGGTGGTTAACTATAGGTGAACCACTGCCGGCGGAGGGAAAAGCCTGGCCTGCTACAGATAGCCAGGAACAGTGTACAAGGAGGGGGCCCTTTGGTCTTCAAAGGGACCTAGCAGTCTTATGAGCAACTTTGTAATAAGGGAAGATGTGGTGATGCGAAGCTTTCTTAGTGAGGTGAACGATGGACCTCAAAGCCTAATGGAAATTTTGACTTTTTTTTCTTTCTGAGAATACCTTGGAGCTACTTTTTTTCTAATTCTTTTCTTGAGAAAGACACACACAGAAAATGAAGTATAAGAAAAACCGCTGCTTCTCTTTATTCAACTGGCTTCATCTTTCTGGTCTAATTTTTCCTGGAAACTTCTGAAATAAAGTGTCAAAGCATTAAGTCAGTCACCAGGCATCATTCAAACAATTTATGAGACTACAGTTGTAACTGAGTTACGAAATAATGTTAATTCAATGTTATTGAAACAACATGAACTAGTAGAATGCCACGTGAACAGGCTTTTGGAGCATACTCTTTAAGGCTGAAGGAAACTGTTAGTGACAGAATATGACATTGATTTGTCTGATTTTTATCTAGGGGGAATGATGGGAGGGAATATGAGATTCTGACCAAAGGCAGAGCACATTATTCACCCTGAGAGCACACGGTCCTGTATACCAGGCTGGCTTGCTTGAAAAGGTATGCCCAGCTATTTTCAGGACCCATCGTTGTTTTCCACCATACCATCTTCATGAAGGGGTTCTGTAAATTTCAAACTCATATCCATTTGCACTCATCCACCTAGCAGCCACTGGGGTAAGAAAATATGTGAAACACAGGGCATGGTAGGACTAGGTTCAGGCTAAAGTGAAGCCAGTGGTGCTGGAATAAGGATCTGAACATGTCTTTATTTAACATTTTGAGATACTGTTCATCATGGATGATTATTGCATTGATTTAGATTTTTAAAATATTGCATTAAATTTTTCTTTTGATTAACTTTTTTGATAATCCCTTAAATTTTATTCCTGATTGTAGGTGCCTTATTTGCTTAACCTTTTTCCTGCTCTAATGTATTACTAGATCTAGTCAGAGTAGTAAAGTTCAAGGGAGAATTTACTAGATGTCAAAAATAATTAATGGTCTTGAAAATTAATTAATTAATTAATAATTAATGCTCCTGAAAAATAATTAAAAGACCTAAGGTCAGGGAGTTAAGAGATGTGGGTGTGAGGAGAGGGGGAAAGAATAATAACTCATTGAGAGGTGGTGCTTGAACCTATCCCTCATACAGTAACTAGTGAGAGATGAAAGAAAGCACCATTTTAGAGAGTGGAAACATTGGTATTCTTTCATTCATTAAATAATTGCCTCTTAACCAGGCTGTGTAGCTAGATGAATGAACTGGTCCTGGAGCTTCTAATTCTCTTTGTTTACTCTTAGTTCCTAGAATTTATTTTTTCTATGATGGTCTCAGTGATTCTGGTCCAAGGTAGATGGATAAGATTGTAGAATCTACCTTAGTCCTTCAAAAAAGATAAATTGTTAAGGGAGATAATAGACTCAAAATTAACTAACTATGAATGATAATACAGTAAGAAATATGTAAAACAGTCATCTCTTGACATACACAAGGGACTGGTTGCAGGACCCCTCTGTAGTTATCCAAATCTTCAGATGGGCAAGTCCCATATACAAAGCAGTACAGCATTTACATGTAACCTATACATATCTTTCTGCATAATTTAACTCATCTCTAGATTACTTATAATACCTAATATAATGTATATGGTTATTATACTGTATTGTTAATGAATTAATGATAAGGTAAGACAGTTTTGTGGTTAGTAACAAAGCAACTTTTTTCTTCAAATATTTTAACCCGTGATTGGTTTGGTCTCTAGATGCAGAACCCAAAGATATGAAAAGCCAGCTGAGACATGGAAAGGCTACATGAGATGTGTATGGAACAGGGGCTGACATAGCCCAAGAAGAATGGGGGAAGAGGCAGGATTTCCAGTAGAAGGTAGCTGGATGGAGCTTTTGAAAGGAAAGGTTAGGTTTCCTTTTGAAAGAAAGGAAAAGTTACAGCTGGCTCTACCTTTATTCCAAAAAGCTCTGAGAGAAAAAGTGCCACAGAAGAAGCAAAGTGAAAAACTATTATTTTTCTTCCACTTTCTTTTGTTATTGTCATGGCATTTAAAAATTTGCTATGTAATGTCATTCTAGCAAGTAAAATAATGTTTTAAATTTTTTGTACAGATTTTACCATCCATCTTTGTATTGTGCAAAGTCCATTTTCAATGCATATGCAATAGCTTTTGACTCATATACAAGATACACTATTTGTATTTTGTAGCTCTTGTACACCCATGTGTTTTGTAGTTTCTAGAACAGTGGAAGCATAGAACAAAACTGTTTTTATATCACTTTTTGGGGGGGACTTGGAATTGAATCTGAGGCCTTAAATGGAGGTAGACCCTCAATAGCCTTCTCCTCTTCATAAACTTTGAGACAGGTTCTCCCAAAGTCACCAAGTTGCACATATTTCTTGATCTGCATCCATCCTTATACCACTACCTTTGGAACATTTGTGTTAGAAATAACTGAAAGGAAGAGGAACTGTGGGCTGTCCTAGCTTTCCCTTTCCTATGCCAGCCTTTTCAGAGTAGGTGGCAAGCTAATATGGGGAAGTAACACAAGGAACAAAGCACATGGAAAGGTCTCTAAGTCATTGCCTTCTATGTTCAAAGCAAGTTCTAATTGGAATGGAAAGTTGGCCTCTTGGGGTTGTCCATGCCCCCACTTCCTCAGCTGTAGTTGAAACATGCTTACCTTGTATTTATTTTCAGTTTAGTGAAGTCCCATACACTGCGGCTCCTGTGGAATTTCATGTTCATCAAGAATCCTGTATGTAAATGGAGCAGTAAAGAGTGGTGGCCATGGATGGGTTTGTTCATGCACGTGTTGCACTGGCCCCTCAGATTTCCCCTACAAAACACACACACACACAAATTGATTAGAGATTTTAGTGGTGATAACACAACATTCAATTGTGTACTAGT